GCGTATGTAGTAGACACAGCGCGTATATAATTTGGCTACCCTTAAGCTAATCTCAGAGTTTTCAATAATTTGGTTAAGGGGAGTTGAGAATTTTAAATCAGGTTTTTCGGTGTTCCATCTGCTCCGTCCGATAATGTACTGGAAACGGCGCGCATCGCTGACCACATCATCGCATCGGTTCGTGTTGCATCAGGATATTTCAGAATAAGAATATAACGCAGATGTACAGTCTGTAGTTTAGATAGTTTTGTAGGAATAAATTTAGAGAATTTCTTCATCTTCCTCCGCTTCAGGTGCCATTTTTTTTTCTTCAGTTGCCCATGACTGCTACACGGATGGTAACAAGTAACGCAATATTTATTACAAATATTTATTACAACAAGCAAAAACAAATTTACAACACAGGTAAATTACAAAAAATCACATAGTCAACGGTAGATTCTTAAAAGATGCAATGGCGCCGAAGGCGCCAGAAAAAATTGCGATTTTACTAGCCCTTAGACCAGCGCCCCGCCCGATTTTGGGACCAACGCCCACCAGTTACTGTCCAAAGGGATCGCGCCCTGCCCGGGGCCCGGGTGCATAGAAAAAAAAAATCCAGGTACTATTGAAGTTGGGGGGGGGGGCAAATTTTTTTAGGTCATTTTTGGGCTAATTAGTCAGTTTTTCTCTGGCTTAGGCTTAGCTTAGCTTAGTATTGGCTTGGCTTAAGCTTTAGCTTAGGCTTAAGCTGAACTTAGGCTAGGCTTAGAACTAGTTTAACCTAGGCTTAGGCCTATGCTTAGCCTAAGCCTTAGTATCTGGTCCTTAGCTTGGCTTCGTCACAGCATCACTGCTTTTGGCTTCGACTTAGCTTTGTTCAAGCTCAATTTAACTGTGCTTCGGCTTAGCTTAGCTTAGGAGATGAGTATTGCGCTGGATTAGCCACGAAAAACTGATCAACTAGCCTAAAAATGACCTAAAAAAATTTTGCCCCCCCCCCCCAACTTCAATAGTACCAAAATCCAAGTTTGACGTTCTCGGGCGGGCTGTTTTGGTGGTGGCCCAGGCGGGAATGGCTTCCCAGGTCTAATTAAGGCGCGTGCGCATTGCTAGAATTTTCCAGCGCGTGATTCCTCGGTGTTGGTGATGAATTTCGTTGTTTTTGGACAAAAATAACGTTTTCTGGAGTTTGTGGTGTGTTTCAAACGCGTAACAATCGGGAATTAGCAAGGTATAATCATTTCTTATTTACATTAAAAGCCGCTGTCTTATTCTTCTAGCCTTATCTGCTGAGCTGCGCATTAATTTTAGTGCTATTTTTTGATCTTTTAAAATTTTCTCAACCCATTGCAGGTGCAGGTTGCGATAAACCTGTAAGAATTAAAACCGCTACAACTACACTATATTTTACTAGGATATAAATACCGAGTTCTGCCCTATTTACCTAGTTTTCTTTGTTTCCTAGTTTCTCATGAAGAACTGATTTTCCTTATTTTTTGTTAGAATTCTGTCGGCCTGTTTTACCGGGTACTTATGCTCCTCGGCTCGATTGCGTTATTCCAAAAAACGGAGAGGGCCAAGCACTAATCAAAAATAAGCTGCCGGCTAATCCGGGGGTCTAATCCGGTGTCGACCGGATGGAGATGCCCACCGAGAAGGGCAGGTGTTTTTTGCCGGTGGGTTTTTTAGGGGTGGCCCGGGGGAAGCCAAGGGTTTGGGGGAGGGTTGCTGAAGCGGGGGACCGGGATCGGAAGGAATATTTGATATTTATACGAATTTTTAGGATGAGAGAGAGAGAGAGGGTGAGTGAGAGAGAGAGAGAGAAACAGAAAAATATCGAAAAGCCTAGCTATTTCTGAACCTCAATAACAGTTTTTGAGTGCAATAATTTTGGGTAGCCTGAAGCTTATCAATCGCCGCTTGTTTGGAGGCTAGAATTGATAGGGGCATTTAGCGGTTAGGGCGGGGGTAGGACATTTTTTGATTCGACCACGCTGCTCCCTGCCCAATTCTAGAGAACCCAAACCCAGAGGAGGATTGGGTTACCCCTAAAAAGGGCAGACAGAGAGAGAGAGAGAGAGAGAGAGAGAGAGACGGACCAAATCATAAAACACAAGTATCAGCGCGTAGGTGGGGGTTAAATACGAAATGTAAAAATAGACGGAAAGGAGAAAATTTGGCAAAAGACCCTGCTGAAAAACCAATTCCACACGCTTTTGGCTTTTTGGTCAAAAAAATTATGAAAAATCACCAGAAATTATCCAAATTTTCCAATTTTTTTAATTGCCTCCACCCCCCGATAGCAGTCTAGTACCACAACGTCTGTAAAAATGTATGAAATAGATATGAGAAGGTATTGCGTTCTAAAGTGTTTTTATTGGTGAAAATTTGAAGGAGGAACTGCTGTCAAAATTCCCCCAAAAATGTGTTCGCCGCCAATCAATGCGAAAGCGGCGGAAAATGATTGGAAGCATCGGCAGGGGACCACTGCTGGAATGGGGAACAATTCGATACACACCGAGACGAAACTTTTGAGAGAGGTCGATGATCGATCGAGAGACTGTGAGAGGGGGAAGGGAGAGAGAGGGCATTTAGAGAGGGAGCAGAGACAATGGTCGAAGGGGGCAGGTTGAGCACTCACGATTCGCGCAATGAGTCATCAAGGGTTTTTTTTTGAGAGACGTACTCGGAGAAATACAAAAAATATAGCTAAATTTATTTTCAGAACTTCGAAATTGGTAAAATAAAATTTATTATTTCGAGATCATAATGTCGAAATTCCATAATATAGAAATTTCAGGATTTCTAAATTTCATCCATCCAATGCGAAAAATTTCGACATATCGAGATGGCAAGATCCTGAAAATCGATATTCGTAAATTTTTGACTTTCTCAAATTTCCACATTATGAATTTCGTCATTTTGGAAAATACATAAAAATCTACCTAAAATGGTCAGCGCTAAAGGTTCAAAATAAGGGCTGAAAGGTTAGTGCGGCTCCCTTATCAGCTTGATGGCCTGGCCTCGGTCAGAAAATATTTTCGCTTTTTGAAGGAAAAGCCTTAGCCTTGGCCTTAATGCCAATTTAACGTGTAAAAATCAAGAGCCTGTAAATATAAATACATTAAAAAATGTCCAAATTTAAGCTCACAACGTTTAGAAAATTTAAGGGGTTCAAATTATCGTCTTGCTGACTTTTTGCAAATCAGATTAATAAGGCTAATTCGCCCACTTTCGCGTCAAATTTTTGGATTTTCTAGAAAAGATGACGAACGAATTTTTAAGTTCCACAAGCGCAAAAAATTGCGGAAATTAGAAGCCCTGAAAGGCAACGAACAGTTTGGAAAGCGCTTGACAATGTGTTGTGTTAGCCATTGGGGGGGAGGTGTGAGTCACATTGGCGGGCATGGCATAACAATACTGTGGAAATCGGAACCGCAGCGATACAACGTACGCAATATCTGGCTTTCGCTTCAGCTTAATCTTAGGAGGCATATGCTTAGGCTTAGGATTACGCTTAGACTTAGGCCTAGGCTTGGGCTTAAACTTAGGTTAGGCTTAGGCTTAGGATTATGCTTAGACTTAGGCCTAGGCTTGAGCCTAATCTTAGGTTAGGCTTAGGCTTAGGATTATGCTTAGACTTACAAGGGAAGTGCGACCGGCCCACGAGAATCGACCGAGACATAGGTGGATCTGATAGAATCGGACACGGGGATTCGAATCTGTAATCAGAATTTGCTAATAAAACGGAGAAAAAAGTTATGAAGCTTCAAAGTTGGCAAAATCGCCCAAAACCGGACTTTTATGGGCCTGTAAAGGCCCAGGGAATGGAAATTTGCCACAACCCATTAGTGCATCTTGTTCAGCAGAAAAAGCGCTTTCGAATGAGTTATTTTACTTCAAGTTTACGATGATTTCGCGAAAACCTCTTCTATGAACTTGACAGGCCATACCCTTGCCCGTGAATCCAAAAACACTTTTTTCAGTGAATTGTTTGCATATGCTACGTATTACAGTTCATTCGAAAGCGCTTTTTCTGCTGAACAAGCTGCACTAATTCTTTTCTCCTCAATTCCGTTCCACCGGTTTTTACGGGCCTTTAAAGGTACGGTTTTTGGCGATTTGGCCAACTTTGAAGCTTCATAACTTTTTTCGCCGTTTTATTTAGCAAATTCTGATTACAGATTCGGAATCCCCGTATCCGATTCTATCAGATCGACTATGTCTCATGTCGATTTCTCGTGGGCCGGTCGTGCACTTCCCTTGTTAGGCCTAGGCTTGAGCCTAATCTTAGGTTAGGCTTAGACTTAGGCTTAGGATCAGCTTCGACCTGATCTTTGCCAGTGCTTCAACCATGCTTTGGCTCCGGCTTTCTCGTTACACATTTTAACCAATTTCCGCGTCCATAGATTCTGGGCTATTGCGCAAAATGATCTGCTCATCTCGAATTTTCCGGAGCCTTCGCGATCCCTCACCGCCATGTTCTCTATTTTGATTTTCGGGCCGGTGTTGCTGATCGGGGTGTGCGGCAAGGGGGGGGTGAAACCGACTTTCAGCCAACTCCGTCACCCCGTCCTCCATGGAGCACAAAAATGGGCGGAAAAGCGATAGAGTGCTGCGATGAAAGATGGGAGACCGAATGACTGACTGTCATATGACCCATATCACCATCCGCACGCAGCAGCAGTTGATGACACCTCGAAAATTACAGAGATCTCTCTGGTTTTTGGAGGTGTGCAGAGGAGTGTCGTGGAATGGCATCCGGAAAACCGGAAATGATTCAATATCGTAGGAATATCGTGGAAATTTGGGAAATTGATTCTAGTTTGTTAGCGGGGGGGGGGGTCTAGTCCCTGCTGCTTACCACCCCCCCGCTAACGATACAGTACCGTAAAATTCTGCTAAATTCCCGATTTTTAAAGCAACCAAATTTGCATAAAATTTGATTTTATTACGGTAAGTCTCCGAATCCATTCCTGAAAGTTCGCAGGAAAAATGATCATTTCTCGTTCCCGGCCATGGGCTGCAAGCAGAGCAAGCCCATCTGCGGGCCTGTCGTGGGTTTTTTAGGCAAATTTCGTGTAATTTAACTTTTTCGTGTTTGGTTTAGATAAGAGTTTTCTAAAAAAGCTTAAAAAAATTCACAGGTCGATGACGAGTTCGTGACGGTGCAGATGCCGCCGCTCAAGCTGGTCAAGATGTTCTTGCCGAAGATGGCCGTGCGTTTATAGCCTCTCTCTTCCCCTCTCTCTCACTTTCTTTGTCTCTGACTTCCTCTCGCTGTCCCTGTCTCTCTCTCTGTTTTTCTAACTCCCCAATTCCAGGACGATCTCACCTCCGAGTCCGACCACCACGAAGCGAAGAAGCGGAATAACAATTACGTTGGCGGACCTCCTTACGGTAGCCTAGGCCTTCCTCCGTTATGATCATCTGCTTTTCCAGGCCACATCATCGTCAGCCAACCGGAATGGGATATCTTCTTGCCGCGTGATCGTCCGGGCTGTCGTCCCCGTTGAATGGCCCCCATCCACTGGCCGCCAGCGATCAACCATTAATGCCAAGAGGACCATTATTTTTTGAACGAACGAGTTGTCTGGATCATCCGAATAAATGATGCGTTTCTGGGTTCAAATCGTTTGTAAAATGTCACCAAAGGATTCAGAAGCGAAGGCTTGGGATTATAAAACCTGAGCGGCAGCTAGCAAAGATTCTTTGGGAGCTTCAACTTTTTTTCCGGAACCTGCATTTGGAGCGCCAATTTTTTTCGCAAAATAGCCGAGATTGAGACCGGGAGCTGCAAGTTGAGCATGAGGGTGACACAAAGAAATTTGGATAGCCACGTGTTTTAGGAAATTTGAGCATGAGCACGAGCTAGCAGAGATTATTTAGGAAATTTTAGTTTGAGCACGAGCTGGAAGAGAGTATCTGAGAAATTCAATCCCATCCCAAAAAAAGGTTGAGACGCAAAAAACCACAATTCGTCATTCTATTTTGCGTTTTGAACTTGTCAAGTCGAAGAAAACAATTGCCCTCTCGTTTTGGCAATCATTTTTGAACGATCAAGAGGTGTTCCGCTCCACTCCCTAATGACGAGTATTCGAATGGGTGTGACAAACAAGTGGGCGGTGGTTGCGCTGCTGCTGCTGCTGGAAATAGACAAGGGTTTGAGCGTTGATCCGGATTTCCTTGACAGCCCCGCCCATCTCGCTCACTTTTTTCCAGCTCATGCTCATGGCGTTTCATCACCGACGCGCGGATCTCTGGATTAACACCCCTAATTCGGAGATCGGACCATCGCTAGAGGGAGAGAGAGTGGGAGAGATGGAGAGACCCAGAGAAAGCTGCAGCTTTTTTGGGGGTCGATGAGATCGAGAAATCAACCACCGTGCTGGATTCTCCCCACGTGCCGATTGGGGAGAGAATGATATAAAAGGGGTGATGACGGGGATGGAAATCAGCAAACTAGCCAAGCCAGACTTCGAATAATGCTCCGCATCACCGCCCTCCTCGCGCTCCTCGTTGTGCTGCTGGTTACCGTAGAGGCACAATGGAATACTGGTGAGTCTTCGGGATACGGTAGCGCATTTTGAGTCCTTTCCTAAGATCGGGGGGGGGGGTGTATCAGGCCGGCAGTACCAATTTTTTTCTTAAGCATTTTCTAATAAAAATTAAGCAAAAAAAATTGACAAATTCTTTGAAGTAAAATTATTGGATTTTCGACGAAAATGTCGAATTTTTTCACGTTTTAAGGTTTTTAGATAGCCAGAGATTTGGACAAAAAAATATACGGACTCGAAAATCTAAACCTAAGCCAAGCCTAAGCTAAGCCCAAGCCTAAGCCTAAGCAAAGCCAAACGCGTACTTAAAGTAAACTTAGAATGTCAGTACCCCAGTCATTGGCCGCAGCCGGTTACGGTAGCAAACCCACGTGCATGAATCGCCCGGACAGTGCGACCTTTTGTGCTCGCTCTGCGCTATCTGGTGTGGTAGGTGTGCGCGGGGTGTGGATGGAGTGTCGCGTACACTTGATCCTTTCTCTATCTGTCTCGCTCTCTTTCTCTTCCCTCATTTTGCCAAGACACGAGTCCACTACGCAAAACACAAACAACCTAACTCCACCTCCTCTTCCTTCTCCTCCTCCTCAGGAGATGCATCGTATAAAAGGGAATCCGAGTGGTTAGTTAGACCATCAACCTCATCACTCAAAAACACCTCGACGCCCCAAAAAATGGCCAAGCTCTTTGTTGTCGCCCTATTCTTTGCCCTCGTCGCCCTGGCCGCGTGCCAATTCACGCAATCTGGTGCGTTTTAGGGAATAGTGTCCGTTAGCTCAGCTGACCTAAGTCTCTTTTGGTTAGGTTAAGCTTAGGCTTGGTCTTAGGATTAGGCTTAAGCTTAGGCTTAGGCTTCGGCTTGGGCTTAGGATTAGGCTTAGGCTTAAGCTTATATTTGAGCTTGTTAAAGCTCATGCTCAGCCATTTTAACCCCTCCTTTTTCCAGGCTTCTACAACAACTTCCAAGCGTCACCCTACCAGAATGACTTCCGCTACCGTCGCCAGGGCTCCTACTACAACCCCCTCGCCATCGCCCCCATTTCCGACTGGGGTCGCAAATAGGCGCCTCGCGTAGCCGCGCGTAGCCGCGCGTAACCGGACGACCCTACTCTTCAGCACGACTTCAGAATATTTATTCTCTCCATATTACCATGTCAAATCAGCACACACAAAAATACGCTTAACACTTCGCATACGGGTACAGTACGCCATTGAATAAATATGATTTAAATTCTATTGTGCATTTACGTGAATATTACCGCGATATATACAAAAATTACGGTTTTCAAGCATAATTTTTAGCCGGGATTTCTTCAAAAATAGCTTGAAACGGAGGATACGTCTAAAAATGAATCTGAACTCCTTGAGCATGACGATAACAAATGATTCTCGAAAAAAAAACTGAAACGAGTTGTTTTTACCCCAGAATTATAAATAGCTAATTTACGGTTTAGGCGTCAAAACAGGGTGTTGATTGGAATTTTGCAGAAAGAGAGGCGCACCGGGGGTTATCAATGCGAAAAAGCGAAATGAGAGAGAGAGAGAGAGAGAGAGAGAGAGAGAGAGAGAGAGAGAGAGAGAGAGAGAGAGAAAAAGAGAGTGAGAGAGCGACATAAAAGGGTCGTCAACACCTCAGATCCCCAAAAATGGGCGGCAATCGGCATCGCGGTGATCTTTGCAGTAGCAGTAGTAGATGTCCTGAAAAGGGATTCTTTAATTTTGACCAAAATCAAGGCAAGCTAGCGGGGATTCCTTGGGGAATTAGGGAGCCGGACGGCCAGGGAAATCAAAAAAAAAAGCGAAAAACTGAAATGCAAAAATTGTCGGAAATCGAGAAAGCAAAAATAGAAAATGGCTGTCAACAGCACTTTAAAATTATTTAGCTTGGGAAGGCCAGTAATGCGTATTTCGGCTCTTGAGTTTTGGATTGAGAATTCTCTCTCTGTGTCTCTCTCTTTCTCACTAGCTCTCTCTCTTTCTCTGTCTCTCTCTCTCTCCCTCTCTCTCTCTCTCTCTCTCTCTCTCTCTCTCTCTCGCTCGCTAGGTAAACGCGCCGTGGTACAGCGTTGCGACGGTTTCGGGACTATCTGGCGCGACGCAACCGCGACGAATCAACTCTTTTCACCTTTTCAACCGTTTCCTTTCACCACCAACCTGAATCCCGAGCTTCGGATCCGGTCCGCATTTGTGGTAGACAGACGTTGGGCACTCCTCATAACAGTCGTAATGGGTCCCGGTTAACGTTCTGCAACCCAAAAGGTATCATATTTTTTCCCTGAAAACTCACGAGATCATGGAGCAACATTTATGATGTGGGAGGCATTCGACCAGGCTGACGTTGTTGATCGCTGGCTCCTGAAAGATTGGTGCTAGTGGGGGATTTTTTGGTAATTAATATTAGCTCATGCCATAGAACTTAAAATTCTGAGCAAGCCGCGTTTTTGCTCAAATTGCTGCATGATGACGGCCTGCGTAAATCGTTTCGTAAAGTTCCGCATTTTGTTGACTTTTTATCATTTTTATTTGTATTTATTTTGTCGACATTTCAGTTTTCCACATTATATTTTGTCATTGCGAAATGTTTGAGTTAAAAAATCGAGGAAAAGGGGCATTAAAGTCTCGACAAGTTTAAATTTCGACAAAATGATATTTCGACAAAAACAAGCCGTATTCTACATTTTCATACCTCTTGCCAATTCTGCGTCCCCTGGTAGCAGTTGAATGATTCGTAGGTGGCGATGAGCGCCAAAAATGTGCCGAGCGCCAGGAATTTCATCTGAAAGTTATAGTGGAATTTTTACACCGGAATTTTGGTGTAAATTGAAGTGAGAATAAGAATAGAATAAGTGATCGAAATTTTTGATGCATTAACGAGAGCTAGAGGTCTAAAATCAGCCCGACCGCAACGCAGCAAGCTGAGCGTTCACCAGGAGGTGATAAAAACTACCAAGCAAAAAAGAAAATCCGGTTCTGGTTTGTTAGCGGGGGGTTTATCTGGGGAAACATTTTTTGTCAATAGCTTCTTTTATCTGGAATCCCTTTATTTTGAGCTTTCTATAAAACTCGTAGCATATCTTTTGATGCTCTATCAAATCGCGTCATCAGACTGTCAACAAATAGCTCTTAAAGCAATCTTTAGAATTCCTAGCATTGCCGTAATTCCATTATCATGATCGTAGCGTGGCGTAGCGTAAACTAGGAAGTCGCCAAAATCGTATAAAAAATCCAAAGAAAAAATGGAGCGAAAAATCTACTAAAATTTCAAAATGCAACGTAAGAAAAAACTAGCTGCAGACCCTCACAAGTATCCGACGACAAATCCTAGCAAAATGTGGAAAATTTTCAACCCCAACGAATCTACCGTAACTCACGCACCAGCCGGCAAAAAGTTGCAAAGCGGTGCGGAATGAAGAACACCTCTAGCTTCTCGCCGGGGCCACAGGTAACGGATCCGCCCCAGCACAACCCGAAAAAACTTTGGCCAGCGCCACCGCCCCGCGCACAAACAATAGGGCCATGGCAAACAGGGACCCAGCAGCAGCAGCAGCCTCTGCTCTTTTACCGCTTCGCTAAAATTTGCCCCTGACTGCGGCCGGTTTAGCTGTATCTCTCTTTCTCTTTCTCTCTCTCTCTCTCTCTCTCTCTCTCGGGTGAGAGAACACCGATCTTCTCGAGGGCCAATAAATACACCAACTGGATGGATGGGTCTTTTCAACAAACAATGTTATATTTGAGAAGTGAAGAGCTAATGGGTACTGAAGAGTTCTGTTGACGATCGTCTGGCTGGCAATAGGTTAACAAAGGATTCTGGGGCTGTTAACGATTTAGAGAAGTCCGACGGTTAGGCTTAGGCTTAGGCTAGGCTCAGATTTAGGCTTAGGAGTTAGGCTAGTCTCGGGCTTGGGCTTAGAAGTTAGACTAGTCTTGGGCTTGGGCTTAGGCTTTAGGCTTCGGTTTAGGCCTAAGGCTTAAGTTTAGGTTAGGCTTAGGCTTAGGGCTTAGGCTTAGGCTTGTGCTTAAATTTAGGCTTATACTTAGACTTCGGCGTAGGCTTGGGCTTGGTCGGAAGCATATTCTTCCAGAATTTCTCTGCAATTAGATAACCCAGCCATTTTTTCCGCTGTCGCCTGATTGAGCAACAGACTGCAAAAAACCCTGTATATTTCCGCACCCCTGTTAATCCGTTATTTTTGAGATGCGGAAACCCTCAGCCAGCCGACAATCGATTCGGAAGTGTGCCATCCGGATGTCACGGGTCCGGTCGTCCTTTGAACCAAATAGACCCCCCGTGGCTTTTGTATTTCCATTCTATTAAACATGAAAGCTTCCCGAGTGGCACTCGTGATGGACGGAAATGTTGAAAGTGACGATCCGACGACGTTTAAAAGCGAAGAGTGACGGTTCCGACCCGGAAAGAGCAATGTCCGCTGTTTCCTTGATTCCGGCCGACTCATTAATTTTACCAAGGTTTCGATTACGGTAGATATTATTCTCAAGCTAGGAATCTATGCATCGCCTCGAAATTGAGAAGTACTAAAAAGAGTTTCTAATGTTTTTTTTTATAATTACTAAGCACAGAAACCTAACAAACAATATAATAAAAACATCTAAAAATGTAAAAATTAGAGTTTTCGAAAATTTATAATTTGAAAATTTTCGCAAGGTTTTTAAGATCATTTTTACCTGAAATATAAATACTACCAACAGTATTAAAATGGTTTTTACTCGACAGTTCCGGACTTCCACAAAAATTCAGTTCTTTCCGAAAATTACCTATCCACCGATCAAGCAGATGTTATATGTGAAACCGCCGATTCCCCCCACCAGACAGACACGTTATATGCAAATTGGCCTTCAGCCAATGTTGCCTGGGGCATGATTAGCGGTGCGGCACCCTGATTTGTCTACGAAATGCGCGGGGGTGAACGGGAAAATGCGGGGGGAGACGGCGCGAAGTGCATTTAGTCTATCTCTATCTCACTCCCTCTCTATCTCTCTTTCTCTCTCTCTCTCTCTCTCTCTCTCTCTTTCTCTCGACCCTCAAAATCCTCCCGCCCTTCCTTTCCAGATATAAACAAGGGTCGTTGTGAAAAGCGGCCGCGCTTGGGGGTGGCAAAGTGCGTCTCGCCCCAGCTGGCTCACGGCTACCACACGATTTCTTCATCTGAACATGCATTTTTGGCTTGAATTTTTTAATCGGACTGAAATTGTCGTCTGTTTGTCAATTTAATTCTGAAGTCAATAATTACAAAAATTTGGAATTCGCAAAAATTAAATGCATGAAAAAATTTTTTCTGAAAAATTGCGCTTGGATCGATGCATCTTTAGTTTGATGCTGCCACGTTTTTTAAACGCCTCTATTAAAATTTATCACAGCTGTGTCTGAAATTTGAATTTTGTGAATTCATGGCGGTTTTCCAAAATCTAAAAATTAATTGCTTTAGCCCATTTTTTTCGGCAATATTGTTTACCCCAGTTGCAAGCCGACTTTTCATTTTCCGGGTGCACTCACTGGCCAGAGGGGGGTCAGGTGGCGGCTGACCAATTATTCCTCTTTTCTCAAGCCCCCGGAACCAGGAAAGGCACGTGGGGCAGCAGTTTTTGCGTGCTTTTCTCATATTTCTCTCTTTCTCTCTCTCTCTCACTCTCTCTCACTCTCTCGCTCATCCCTTATCTCCACGCCACCGCTGGGGACTGAAGCCTTTTTAGTGATACTTTGCGCCTGCTCTCCCCCTAGCCCCGCCCCCTTTTTGCACCCATCCCATCAATCCCGGCTTTGTTTCCCTAATCTATCCCCCCATGTACCGACCATTCGAAATCTTCTTTGTTTTCGGGCCCTGGTCCGAGTGCACTCACCTCATTTTGAAAAGTATATTATTTTAACAGTTATCTTGTCTCTTTTCCTCTGTCTCTCTTGCTTTCTCTCTCTCTCTCTCTCTCTCTCTCTCTGTCTCTGATCCTCCACTTCAGAAGATGTCGTTCTTCGTTCAAGCGATGGGCTACTACAATACCGACTCGAAAACGTCGGAAGGAGTCACAGCGACGGAAACGAATATTAAGGTGAATCGACTATTTCTCTCTATCTCTCACTCTCTGTCTCTCTCTATCGATCTATTTCTCAATAACTCGCTCTCGCTTCCTCTGCCTCTAATAACATTTTTCCAGACGTTCGACGCCGATTTCCAAAACGAGCCGCACCCCGCGAAACGGTCCAAGAAGGAGGAGCTCGAGAAGAGAAAGCAATGTATCGGGTAAGTGGCGCTGCTCGAAACTCGGCTTAAACGTTGCATTTCGGGAATTTTCGGATTCTCGTGATCGTGACGACCATATTCGCGATTCTGAGAATTCATGCTCTGTGTTTTTCGCGGAAAACGCCAAAATTACGGGATTCTGACTGTCGGCATTTTGGGTGTCGGGTTTTTGCCACATATGATTTTGACGCTTTTGCCATACCCGGCGCGTTTTTAGAGCGTATTGCCCACTAGTTCAGTCGGTCCTTGAAAGCCCCAGTGAAGAGGGGCGGCGCGTTGTTTTGGATCTCTCCGCCGCGCTTGACGACAGTTCCCATTGGCCCCACCCTGATTATTGCCCCAATCACTCATGCCGAGTAACCCATCGAGATCAGGGGCGACCTTTCCATGAAACTTTGACCGGAATGGGGGATCTCATGATCCGGCTGGCTGAAAAATTATTGGTCTGAAACGAGCGGATGGTCGTTTTTCTTATCGGAAATGTGGGGGGATGCGTGCTTTTGTGACGCTTGGAACTGACCGCGGGGATCGGATGCCCAGGAAGTAAACAAACGGAAAATTGGGGGTGGAAGGTTCGTGGTTTTTAAAGGAAATGGGAAATTGTAGAACTTTGTAGGGTTTCTCTATCTCTCTTCTTCTTGCTCACTCACTCTCCTTCTTGCTCACTCTTTCT